GGTAATCGCAAAGTTGGTCGCATGCAAATGGCAATTAATGTACAACACGAATAATATCACATAACTGAGTATTTAACTTATTCCTATACTAAGTTGATTCATGCTCCGTTACTTGACATCCAAAACTCAAAATACTAAACTTGAAAACAGAATAAATGATTTATAATGACAGCGGTCAACGCCTAAAATTATATGGCCAAGGAGGGATATCTTCTCGTTCGTTTATATCATAAGCCATAAACCTTTGAACCATAAAGCCCCAATCAACGACTTTGAAACGACTTGAAACTCTAAATGATAACGATTCGTAGAAGAATAAACGAAGAGGATCACTACAATGTATGGGTGAATGCATCAGAATGAAAATTAAAGAGTTAATTGGTGCACTCGGATATCGCCTTCAACAGCAATAACGATCGCCGAATTACCGGCACGAGCAGCCCAGTTCTCCGAGTAGACAATACGAGGGAAATCGGTACGTTGTTCGATGGGACGAGGGCTCGGCAGAGCACATAAGAGATTACCCGTTCTTAATGACCATCCACGCGAAGTGCCATCTTCGCCAACTTAAATTAAGCAATTCATCGATTCAAACTTCACCCACACATTTCCACTACGAACCAAAATTCATCGTCTCTATCGTTCTCTAAGTTCGTGCTGATTTACCGATCGCAAACAACGAAAAAAGTTTACTACTTCTCTTCAAAGACCGTATATCACATAAACGAACTGAATTCCAACTTCTATTTCGAATTGAAAAATAAATTACATTGCAGCATCTACTCCCAATTACTGCACTGTTATAATGTCGAATTCATGTAAACATATAATCGTTGAGACTGAAAAAAAAACGAATGAAACTGCAAATAAAGAGAAAAATAGAACGTACCAGCGAAAACAAATTTTTCATTGTTATCCACAAAACAAGGCAAACGATAATGACTATTTTTATGACCTTCAAAAGATATTAATGTTTTCCTCGAGCGAACATCCCATAATTTCAACTGAAAAATATTTTCATTTTCATGTTTGCTGCAGAAAACATCACTGAAAATTCAGTTCATAGTGCTCGTTATTCCTAGGAACGATCGCGGCGAAATAGGGTCAACTGCATTCCGTCGCCGTGCATGTGTTCCATGCTCTCTCAGATGAATATAATAACTTCAAATAAAAGCATTTCATGACGACATACTACTAGCTCGCAACAACTGTTTCGTTTCACTGAATCACAATTCAGCATCAACTCAAAAAAATGCTGAAAATCGCCGTGCCGTTTCATACTATCATGTTAAAGATGCATTCAGATATAAAAAACCATGACAAATTACTTGGTTTCGCATGAATTACATTGAAATAAAACAAAATCGGTTGACAGAATTGATTTGGCAGATAATACCTCTCCAGCGAAATTTTCCGTAAGAATCAGATGCGGTTGTGTTTTGAGCAATCTGATCCATCCAACTGAATTCGACTCTTCAAACGTATTAACAATATGATGACTTTTGAGACGTAGATCAGAACACACCATATCACCTCCACACAATCCCATATACAACAGATCACCATCCTGCAACATCAATGAATCGCTCAATCAAACGATTTGTGTAGCATTGCGATTAGATATTTGGTTGATGATAATTTTTGTAGGTCTGCATTAAACCAAACAGTAGTGTACCTGAGAGAACTGCTGACTCAACACGTTCTTTTTCTTGCTTGAGATACGAAAATTCTGCTCAGAAACCACATCGACTATCATTGTGTTCTCTTCCATTCCTGCAAAAATAACACCGTCAGATTTTGCTCATTCACATGATTGGTGCCACATGGAACAATTCACCAAATTTCAACAAGTCGCATTTGTGTTATCAACACAAATTTCGAAACTTTTCACAGAACCAAAATCATATCATACAAATAATAACCCAATAACTTTGTATTACAATATTCTGATCATATATTTCGGTATGCTAACTAATAATGAACTGAAACGAATTCTTACAATATCGAACTATGCTCTCAGCAGAGAACGGAGAGGAATTTTCGGTTAGATACGCGTAAATATGAAAGAGACGAATATTTATTGAAAGAAAGGAAGAAAAAGGAAATCGACCGAAACCACCAACCTAAACCGATTCTCATTTTATTCGCATTCCAACCGCACGACC